CCCCCCCGTTTCCATACAAAGATTCCTATACCGATTCGATTTTCTTTCTTTTTCTACATTTCTATGTACTTTTGTATGTATGACGTATGTATTATGATGTATGTGTTTGTGTGCGTATATAAGTCCTACCTATTTCTACCTCTTTCTCTCTTTTTCTTCTTCGTTCTCTCTCTCTCTCTCTCTCTCTTTCTATTTTTTCATTTCTTTCTCTTTTTATTTTCTTTTTTTTTTTTCTTCATTTCTTTCATTTTAATCAAATAAGATCAAAGACATTACCATTAACTGTCCTAGGATAGTTTAACCAGTTGATGCACCACCATCGTGTTATCATCAACGAGCACGCAAAACACCGGAAGTGTCTCGTTCGGACTCGGGGCCCCCATCTCGGTCGTTTACTCGACAGAACGTGCTGATAATTCTCCATAAATTCGACAGTTATTAACCTAGTCCAATCACGTTAGAGACTCGTTCACTTTCTTCTTATTATTCACTATACTTACATATATCTCTTACATCACTATTTTACATCTGTTAAATATTTCATTAAACATAATGTATGTATATACTTTATTTATTTGTATTTATTTAAAAATATTACCAAGAGACCAACACGTTCGTGTTTATTATTAACTTGGCTAAGTATTTTATCTATTGTTAAAAATTTATCTTGAAAATTCTATTTAATAAATAAAAGAGACATTTTTATCTTGAAATAAAACGATCAGAGATTGTTGAGAGCGTCAAAGCGTATAAAAATCTTGTTTAAATAGAAACTAGTCAAGGTATACGTTTGTCTGTCTGTCTTTCTGTCTGTCTGGCTGTCTGTTCGTCCGTCGGGCCCGTCCGTCTTTTTCTGTAGATGAGATAGAAGCTATTCCGCGAAATCTTTTATTCACGAGTTTCAACGTTGCTACTAGCGTCTCGCCGCGAGACAAATCGCGAGATACGCCTAACTTTCCACAAATTCTTCTCTCTCTCTCTCTCTGTTTTTTTCTTTTGTTTTTTTTTTGTTTTAAAGCTTTTCCAGTCGTCTCTTCATCTTTCTCGCTAAGCTTCCCACGTCGAGCTTTATCGTCTCTACATTACGCTGCTCATCGTGCGAGAAAACTATCGACCGGAGCAGCACCGAAAGAGCCCCCCCCTCCCCCCTTCTCCCCCGCGTACCTCGCGAACTGAACGATATATGTTTAAAAAAAAAAAAAAAAA